CCCAGTGCACCAGCCCTGAGCACTTGTCTCATGCATCCAACCTGGGCTGGTGATCTGTTTCACCCTTTATAGTATACTTGTTTCAATGCTGTTCTCTCTGAACATCCCACCCTCGCCTTCTCTCACACAGTCTAAAAGTCTGTTCTGTACATCTGTGTCTCTCTTGTTTCAATTGTGTCCATGAAAAAAACTTGTGTCCAAGAAAAAAAATATAGACAACTCCTCTTGTTTCAAGCAATTGTGTTTACACATGCATGCATGAATGCATGGATATGTAACTCAATGGTTTTATTAAAAAACCATCATCTCATAAATGGTGTGTGCTTTGTAGCAGTTTCAATTGTATCTTAAGTGTATTTCATGGGGTTAAGTTTTTTCTGCATCATCACATGAATGATGTAAATTGTAGCAATATAATTGATATTGTGTGGGTTGCGATGGGAGAGGGTATGACCCTGTATCGTGACCATTTATGTTCTTATAGTGTATTTCAGCTTCCTTGAACTTGTTTCCGGTATTCTCAGGGAATGCTCTGTGGATGCTCTTTCCTTCTCTGGTAGTTAACTGGTTGATTCTTTAGGTTCAGTTGTCTCTCCCAACCACCTGAGCTCAGGTGCTGTTGCCTCATTTCTTAACTGTTTGATCTGAGCGGTTTCTTAGAGTGACAGAGTTTTCTCCCCAGTAAGGTGCACTCAGATCTTTCTCTAACGTGCTGTTATGTTGATGACAAGTTCATCTGTGTGACGTCTTTAGAGTAATGCTTAGTGTGTAGGATGTGCTGAAACACGTGTCGTCAATGTGATGATGTCGTCATCATCACAATGTGTGTTCTTTTAAAGCAACTGTGGACTTTGTTTTCTCTAAAGACACCAGTCTTGCTGTAACTCAACTAGACAGTGACACTATATCACTCAGTGTGTTGAATGTAATACTTCTGCACACAACCCAGTGTTGAATTTAATTTATGTATTTTTCCTGTATTGTCCACATATGTGACAAATTCATGTTGATTGCAGGAGATCATAATCTTAGGAAAAAGAGGAAATTAGAAATTAGATTAGAGATCAACAGTTTGCTTCAAGCAGCTTTTAATGGGTGTATCAGAATTTTACTTAAACTGAATTGAGGTTTATCCCTCTCACCTTTTCTCATTTTGTGTGAAATGAAGAATCCTCCTCAGGGCCCATTGGTGAAATGTGTTTTCATTTCAGGCACAGTTGACCTTCAAAGATGTGTTCATAGATTTCACTCCTGAGAAGTGGGAATGCCTGGACCCTGCCCAGAGGACCTTGTGCAAGGATGTGACTGTGGAGACCCTCAGGAACCTGCTGTCTGTGGGTGAGGATCACTTCCCCCTGAAGTGGGGATCTGCCCTGGGGTACCTCTGCATGTTCCCTCTGTACCTTTTGAGAACACCTGTTTTTCTTGACTAAGCTCAAAACCTTGTTGATTCACACATGTAAAGCTTCGTGATTGGCATCAGGAGTTTAAACTTGTCTTTCCTTCTGGTGACCTACCAATGTGTGATACAGAAGGAGTTTTTTCAGAACTTGAGCATTTGTAAAGCTGATTTCAAACTTTGAAATATCCAGTTGCCTGTTTTCTAGCCGTGTGTTCTTGGTTCAGTAGTTCTTAGAGAGGAACTAGATAGCTGCTGCATATTGTACTGTACGTTATACTCTTCCCTGTGCATTCAAAAGGAGGCAGATAGTAAATTCATTTGAGACGTATTTTCCTGTTGGTTGATAATCTCCTCACCCCTTGGCTGAAAAAAGAGCTGGATTCTACACCTGCCAGTGCAGGAGACACAGGTTTGATCCTTGCTCTGGGAAGATGCCACATGTCACAGAGCAGCTACGCCTGTGTGCCTCAACTATGAGCCAGCACTCTAGATCCTGGAAGCTGCAACTACTGAGCCCACATGGGACAACCACTGAAGCCCGTGCACCCAGGAGACGCCGCAGCAAGTGAGGAGCACGAGCACTGCAACCGCAGCATAGCCCCTACTTGCTGAACTTGGAAAGAAGACCCAGCAGCAACGAACACTCCCCCGAGCCAAAAGAAATGAATACACCAATGTATTAAGAATAGTAGATACATTTATTTAGAAAAAAGAGAGGTTGTATTCTAGAAGAAGCCACATTATGTGGCATTATGTGAGTAGGAGTTTCTGCTTCTGATTTGAACGTTATCTCCATACAAGGAGGAAGACCCCTGGATTGTAGAGAATGAGGTGCTAACAACAAAAATACAGATGAGTGGGAAAATATCAACAGTGTGATCACAGGTCAGCTGTCACAAGGACAGAGAGGAAGGCACACCATTCATGGGGTTTGGGAAACTTGTAAGGCATAGTTCCAGCGAGGCAGAAAAGGAAAGACGACCTCAACAGAAGTAGGTTACCTTTATTCAGGCAAGGAGGGGCGACAGTCGGCCTAACGACCAGGCTGAGCGCCGAAAGGGATCAGGGAGACTTCATACTTATAGCGAAGTTTGTGGAAGCGACAAGGGAAACGTCAATCAGGCGGGATATTTTGAGTATTCTTTTGTTGAGATGACACTTGTAGTTGGGCAGGGGTGATAAGTCTTCTGGGCGGGTGTAGAGGGTGGTAGGTTTCCGGACAGGGGGTGATAAGTCCCAGATAGATGCAACTGGCCAGGAGCATCAGGATGGAACTAAAGTTATGCTTTGTTTTCTCCAAAGTTAGATGATTCAGCAAGGGGCCTTTGAGACTGTTGTTCTCTTTTCTAGGCCCAAAAGACTCCTTCAAAACTCTCCAAGGGGGAGAGTTCTGTGAGAAAACAGATGTTTAATGTTTGTGAACCTCACAGGAGGTTTTTCTTCTCCCTAACTGACGGCTCTGTTCTTCAACATGTGAAATGTACAGCACCCTCCAGTGGAGCTGTAGCGCCCACAGAGATGAAGGCGAGGTCTTTGTTTTTGGCCTATACTGGGTCTTTTGTGCTGTGCGGACTTTGTCTGTTTGAGACAACTGAGGGCTACTCTGTAGTTGCTGGGAGCACGGTTTCTCATTGTGGTGGTTTCTTTAGTTGTGAAGCACAGGCCCTGGGCACATGGGCGTGAGCAGTTTTGCCATAAAACTCAGTATCTGTGGTTCATGAACTTATGCTCAGTGACGGATTCTTTACTTCTGAGCCACAAGGGAAGCCCCAAAGCTTGTTCCTTTACATATATCTTGAGCCAATGAACTGGGTGAGTTTAGGTTACTGTGTAGATAGGGAGTTGTTGTATAATGATTATCGTACAAGTAGAGACTGTTTCTCATATTTTTTGTTTTTTTAAAATGACGATCTTTTTGTATTACGCAATATAACTGACATGATCCACTCATTAATGTCATAAAACGACTCTATGTCTATCTACTGATATATTTTATGTCTATCTACTGATAGATTTCTAACAAGTATTTTTAAAAAGTATTTATTTTTTTATTTTTTAAATTATTTTAGGGAATTCCCTGACAGTCCAGTGGATAGGATTCAGTAGTTTCACTGCAGTGAGCCTGGATCTAATCCATGATCAGGGAACCAAGAGTTTGTAAGTGACATGGTCCAGCAAAAAAAAATTATATATATATTACACACACACACACACACTTATAGTTTATGGAATTCTTTATTTTCTCAATGCAGTATTTGTTGAACAGTTACTAACTGCCATTTATTTTTTATGTTATTCATTAGAATGCTTCTTTTGCATTGTTTACCATTCCAATGTATTACCTGTCTGATGCTTGTTGGCTCAGTTGCTCAGTCCAGTCTGACTCTTTGTGATCTCATGGACTGTAGCCCACCAAGCTTTCCTATCCATAGAATTTTTTTCAGGCAAGAATAGTGCACTGGTTGTGATTTCTCGCTCCAGGGGATGGATCTTTCCGACCCAGGGATTGTATCCCCCTGTGCCATGTCTTCTGCATTGGCAGGCAGATTCTTTACCACTGAGTCACCTCTCTTGTCCTGTATGTTCTTTACCATTTATGCATAAGTATGCATAAAATGTGTACAGTATACCATTAGTTTCTCCTCAATTATGAGACAGCAGTGTGTTTAGTACAAGGTAGGATGAGCTTTGAGGTCATGGTGGGAAAATAACGTTTTTTTTGCAAACTGACATGAGTTTGCATAAAATGAATGTTTTCTGATTGTGTTTGAAACTACATTATCCCAAAATTAATTTGAATTGCATATGATTACTCTTTTTTAAAGAGTTCTATTCCTTTAGTTTTGTATAGTTTTAAGATCATTGCGAAGATTCGTAATTCTTTTCAGAATGGATATGACTTTTGGTATAATATCATGTGCTCAACAGGAAAGAATTTATTTATGCATTGTCACTAATAGAATACCTGTGGTTCTTTATGTCTTGCAGATATGTCTCATATACATATGATCAAGAAATTACAGGCAAAAGCAGACAGTGGTAAAGGGGAAATTTTTCAAAGAATGATGTTTGGAAGAACTGAAAGCCTTGATATCAAAGATTTTCACCTCAGGAAGATCCTGGAAAATATACATGACTTTGATTGTCTGTGGACAGATGATGAAAGAACTGACAAATGAATGTCTACATCCCATAACAAAAACCTCACTGATGGAAGAGATCATCCTAGTAGAAGTGATGCAGGAAATAAACCTTTTGAAAGGCACAGAGCAAGCTTTCAGGATGAATTGCAGATGGTACAATCTGAAGGGATAATTTTTAAATGTAGTCAAGTTGTGACAAATGTCAGCACCTCAGGTTTATCACCTCAGAGAACTGGTAATGTCTGCAAAGGCTTTTCTCATGAACATGAGAATGTTGTTATGCATCCTTCAGAACTGTAACCAGACCATGAAACACAAAAGAAAAGACCTTACAAATGTAATGAGTGTGACATAACCTTTCTTCAAGACTCAGAACTCACTGGACATCAAATAATCCATACCGGAGGAAAACCATATAAATGCAACTTGTGTGGCAAGGCTTTTAATCAAACTAGAAAACTTGCAATTCATTGGAGAATTCATACTGGAGAGAAACCAAATGTGATATATGTGGCAAGGCTTTTATTCAAATTGGAAACCTTGCAGTTCATCAGAGACTTCATACTGGAAAGAAACCATATAAATGTGATGTATGTGGCAAGACTTTCAGTCAAACTGCACACCTTGCAGTTCATCAGAGAAGTCATACTGGCGAGAAACCATATAAATGTGATGCATGTGGCAAGGCCTTTAGTCAAACTTCAAGCCTTGCAGTTCATCCGAGAATTCATACTGGCGAGAACCCATATACATGTGATATATGTAGTAAGGCCTTTAATCAGACTGCAAATCTTGGACTTCATCGGAAAATTCATACTGAAGAGAAGCCGTATAAATGTGATATATATGGCATGGCCTTTATTCAAACTACAAGCCTTGCAGTTCATTGGAGAATTCATACTGGAGAGAAGCCATATAAATGTGATGTGTGTGGCAAGGCGTTTACTCGTACTGGACATCTTGCTGTTCATCGGAGAGTTCATACTGGAGAGAAACCATATAATTGTGGTATATGCGCCAAGGCTTTCAGGGTACGTTCAAGCCTTGCTGTTCATCAGGGAGTTCATACTGGAGGGAAACCATATAAATGTGATGTATGTGGCAAGGCCTTTAGTCAAACCTCAAACCTTGCAGTTCATCAGAGAATTCATACTGGAGAGAAACCATATAAATGTGATGTATGTGGCAAGGCTTTTAATCAAACTACAAGACTTGCACTTCATCAGAGAATTCATACTGGAGAGAAGCCATACAAATGCAATGTATATTACCAGGCATTTAATCATAGTGGAAACCTTACTGTTCATTAGAGAGTTCATACTGGAGTGAAACCATATAAATGTCATATGTATGGCAAAACTTTCAGAGTAACTTCACACCTTGCTGTTCATTTGAGAGTACATACTGGAGAGAAACAATATAAATGCGATGTATGTGGCAAGGCCTTTAATGAAGCTGCAAAGGTTGCAGTTCATCGGAAATTCCATACGGGAGAGAAACCATATAAATGTGATACATGTGGCAGAGCCTTTAGTCAAGCTGCAAACCTTACTGCTCATCAGAGAGTTCATACTGGAGTGAAACCATATAAATGTGATGTATGTCACAGATGCTTTAGTGAAACTTCATGCCTTGCAGTTCATTGGAAAATTCATACTGGAGAGAAACTATATAAATGTGACATGTGTAGCAAGGCCTTTAATCAGACTACAAAACTTGGACTTCATCAGAGAATTAATACTGGAGAGAAACCATATAAATATGATGTATGTGTCAAGACATTTGTTTGTACTGGTAACCTTAGTATTCATCAGATAGTTCATACTGGAGAGATACCATATAAATGTGATGTATGTGGCAAGGCGTTTGTTTGTATTGATAACCTTGGTATTCATCAGAGAGTTCATACTGGAGAGAAACCATATAAATGAGGTATATGTGGCAGGGCTTTCAGTGTGAATGCAAACTTTGCAGTCCATCAGAGAATTCATACTGGAGAGAACCTTAGAAATATAAAAATTGTGACAAACCATTTAGGTACAGTCATCCATATCTCATCATCAGGCAGGTCAGACAGGACAGAAACCATATAAATATGATGTATATGGCTGGTGCTTTACTTGAAATGACAAACTTAGAAACCATCAGAGAATTCATACTAGAGAGAAATATTAGAAATGTGACAGTTGTGAGAAACATGTTAGTGCAAAAGTTGTGACTGTGACAACACCTTTAGTCAGTGTTCAGGCCTTTAATTCAGAGAGTTCATACTGTATAGAAAAATACAAGTGAAATGAATGTGGCAGAGTTTCTAGTGCATGTTCAGCATGAACTGAAACCACATACATGTTATTTATGTGGCAAACTGTTCAATCACAAGGAATGACATTGCAGATCATCTCAGAATGCATACTGCAGTGACAACTTACACATGTAGAGAATGCAATAAAATATATCAACTTTTTGACCCTCAGAAAATTCAAACTTAGGAAAACTACACAGATGTGCTAGGTTTGGGAATGCTTTGATCCTGTGTTCAGGCCTACCTCACCAGAAGTTAATTTTTTTTTTTTTACAATATTGTGATGGTCTTTGCTGTACATCAACATAAATAAGCATACATATGTCCCTTCCCTCCTGAACCCACCTGTCTCGCCATCGTATCCCTCCAGATTGTCCCAGAGCACTGGCTCATGTATCAAACTCTCACTGGCTCTTTTCCATATGGTTGGACATTTATATATGTTCCATATATATATGTTTCAGTGCTAATCTCTTAAATCCTGCCTTCCTATTTCTTTTTTTTTTCAATAGTTTAGCGTTACTTTTTCTATCCACATGTTGTGACCCATTTCTAAGGTCTAATTTACATTTCTTTCCTGCCTTACACTAATACATAAGTCTGTGGGTTCTTTTGAGACTTGTAACATTAAAATGCATGTAGACAATGACAGGGAACATAGTAGGTGCCTTGTAAATGTAAAGAAAGACAGTTCCTTTAGGACTTGAGTTCAGTCAGATAATACACATAGAAATATTTATAAGTAGTGCCAAGTTCATAATTTGGGGGGAAATAAATTCTAGTGTCTTGTTAGGACTTTATATTTGACAGTGTGCTTTGTTGTCTGTTTCTGAAAGATCTGTTTGTTGTGGACAACAAAGACATGAGAGAAAATATATTCCAATTTTTCTTTTTTTTTTATTTTTATTTTAGGCATTTTATTTTTTATTTTTTTATTTTTTTCATTTATTTTTATTAGTTGGAGGCTAATTACTTTACATCATTGCAGTGGTTTTTGTCATACATTGAAATGAATTAGCGATGGATTTACATGTATTCCCCATCCCGGTACCCCCTCCCACCTCCCTCTCCACCCGATCCCTCTGGGTCTTCCCAATGCACCAGGCCCGAGCACTTGTCTCATGCACCCAACCTGGGCTGGTGATCTGTTTCACTATAGATAATATACGTGTTTCGATGCTGTTCTCTTGAAACATCCCACCCTCGCCTTCTCCCAGAGTCCACAAGTCTGTTCTATACATCGGAGTCTCTTTTTCTGTTTTGCATATAGGGTTATCGTTACCATCTTTCTAAATTCCATATATATGTGTTAGTATACTGTAATGGTCTTTATCTTTCTGGCTTACTTCGCTCTGTATAATGGGCTCCAGTTTCATCCATCTCATTAGAACTGATTCAAATGAATTCTTTTTAATGGCTGAGTAATATTCCATGGTGTATATGTACCACAGCTTCCTCATCCATTCGTCTGCTAATGGGCATCTAGGTTGCTTCCATGTCCTGGCTATTATAAACAGTGCTGCGATGAACATTGGGGTGCACGTGTCTCTTTCAGCTCTGGTTTCCTCGGTGTGTATGCCCAGAAGTGGGATTGCTTGGTCATATGGCAGTTCTATTTCCAGGTTTTTAAGAAATCTCCACACTGTTTTCCATAGTGGCTGTACTAATTTGCATTCCCACCAACAGTGTAAGAGGGTTCCCTTTTCTCCACACCCTCTCCAGCATTTATTGCTTGTTATTCCAATTTTTCAACAAAAAGTAAATTGCCTAATCACCATCAAGTGATCATATAGCAATTTGACATTCCATGACATTCAAGTATTGGCTTAAGTATTACATATTATGATGTAAACAAGCTTTTCTCATATAAGTTTTTGAAGCTTTGTCATCATAAGCATGGAACAGAAAGTTTTCTAAAGAAGAATGCATTTCTTTTTAAAAGTTTTCTCTCTTAAATAATCTTTAAAATTTAAGTTTGGCTCTGCTAAGTCTTCATTGTGCTGTCTTTGTCTTTTTGCAGCAATTGGGCTATTAATTCTCCACAGAAACTTGGCTGGGGTATGGTTGGAGACTGGTATTTTGATCCTTCTTTTGGTCAGTCCAGAGGACTCAATGTCTTTTTGGTTTTTTTTGGCTGTGTTGAGCCTCTTTTTGCTGCACTTGGGCTTTCTCTAGTTGCAGCAAGCAGAAGCAATTTTCTAGTTACTTGTGTGCAGGCTTCTCATTGCTGGGGCTACTGCTGTTGCAGAGCACAGGCTCAGTACTTACGTTGCACGGGCTTAGTTGCTGCGAGGCTCGTGGTATCCTCCCAGACCATGGATCAAACCCCGGGTCCTGTGCATTGGCAGGTAGATTATTTACCACTGCACCACCAGGGAGGTTCTACTCAGTGGCTTTTAACTGGGCGCTATGTATAATACACTTCCAAACAAAATTGGGGTCATCAACCAATAACTGGGAGATCTGAAAACCAGGAGAGACTACCCCAAACTTATCTGGACTTGCTGAAGAGGTGGATGGACCCGAGAGACCCTGAAACAAAGGCTAGAATGTCCAAAGCACAGTATGGTGCCTGCTTTTCTCAATCCTGCATTCCCCTCAGGGTGCACTTTCGCTGGGCCACCGCAGTGACTGATAAGCTTGATCCTTGGAGAAGTGGAATGTCAAGACATTTTTCTCTCTAGAAGTGTTACGATGAAGTAGCCCTTTCTAAGAGTTGTGTGTTTCATATTCTAGCTTATCATCACTACCCAAAGCCAGTTCTTGTTTACTTAAACTGCTTAAATGAATTCTAATTGCAGGAATATTCCTGGGTTCAGCTAGCACCCCACATCCAGCCCCACCCCAGCAGCACCCCATCAACCCCATCAACCCCCACCCAACCTCAACCTGGCCACCAGACCAGGTTTCAGTTCCCAGGCCTCTGAATCACTTCAGCCTCATCAGCAGGACTCCAAGTACAGTTTGGTTCTGTCTCTCATTCATGTCCGACTCTGTGACCCCATGGACTGCAGCACGCCAGGCCTCCCTGTCCATCACCAACTCCCAGAGTTTACTCAAACTCATTGTGTCGGTGATGCCATCCAACCATCTCATCCTCTGTTGTCGGACATGCAGGACTCTAAATGTTATGCCGAAAGCTTCTTTCCATTGTGATTATCCCACAGAATTTTAAACTTTTATTAAAAGTGTTTACAGTTACTTAAACTAATGAGCAATGAATGGTGCAACACAAGACTAGAGAGACCAAGTACTACTTAACCCTGACAACACACGTCTGGAACCAAAGGGAGGAAGAAGCAGGTAGGTGTTCCCTCAGCCTGGCCCTGCCAGGTCGGGGCCGCCTGGCCCCGCCCTTCACAAGTCACTCAATGCTTGTGCTCGACTTCGGAAACAAAGAGAAGCCACTGCAATGAGAAGCCTGAGCACTGCAGACTCAAATCCATGCAGTGCAGCCACAAGGAGAGAGAGCTGGTTCACAGCAACGAAGGCCCAGCATAAACAAACCAAAGAAGCTGTGAAAAGGAAATCGCATATTAACAAACTTACTGAAATACATTTGATTCATTTTTAATGTCCCAAAAATGCCAAAATACACATGAATAGGGAATGGCCACCCACTCCAGTTTTCTTGCCTGGAGAATTCCATGGACAGAGGAGCCTGGCAGGCTACAGTCCATGGGGTCCCAAAGAGTCTGACATGACGGAGCATCCTCACATAGCAGAGTCAGTGCTGAAAAACAAACGTAAATCTCTAACTTTCCTCCTACAGATTCTTAAGTGATAGCCAGGTGCTTTTGAAATAACATCCTCAGTTTATAGGCCTTGCATAAATCAGCCTCTACCTGGCATCACCTTGTCTCCTTTCCCTACGTTGCAGTCACACTGGCTGGTTTTCTGTTCAGTAAATATCTTCCTGCCTCAGAGCTGGCACTCAGGCTCTTCTCTCTGCTTACAAAA